TAACTATGAATATTGTCATCGTTGTCGTTATATACACTGAAATGATACGCGAAGTAGCATTTTACTTAAAACAAGTCACTGTCGGCGATATAGTATTTCGATGCATTTGCATCTGGGTACTCACCAGACCAATGTTAAAAATGTAAATACTAGTATCTGTACCTGTCCTAAACCGTTATGTATTTTTGTCTTTAGCCAAATGTAAACAATAACGGTCAAAAGGCAAGACAATTGAAAAATAAAACAAAATGGCTGATAGTTGTTGACAAATTTCATTGAAAACCAAAGAATAAATTGATTAAATAGGGTCAGTAAAAGTGTTCAGGTCAACATGACTGCCAGTCGGCCATTTTAAACAAACGTTTATTGATGTTCATACCAAGTTTAAATTAAAATTGCCGAGGAACGCTTAAGAAACGTCACACCGTTTCAGTTTATACATATATATATATATACATGTATATAATTAAACCTATACATCAGATTTCAATCAGTTTGGAGAAAGGTTTGTTATGAAATGTTGAAGCGCTCGATCGGAGGTAGAAAGAACACTAGGGGGAAAAACAAGTTGCGCGCTTCGCTCGCCCTAAACGAGATCTCAGTGGCCAATTGAACTAGAAGTTCAATACACAGGTTAATACATGTCACAAATATACGCAGGAACAGCACATGTTTATAAAATTAGATATTGACATCGAAAGCCATACTATTTTAACAACTAAACTAAAAAATAACTAAATAGAACTAATCATATCTTACGCAATTGCTGGTTATCGAAATATTAATAACTAAAGGGGAAACACAGACACAGCTTAATCAAGAAAATCATTTAATTTAGCGTTTCTCTGTTACCAGAATCAAAGGAAATCTCCTACATTATCTGCGTGGAACTATAAAAAGACTAGGGGATATCACGAGTAATCGGTGCATTAGAGGAATTGGTAAAAAACTTGTCTAATCTTAAAACACTAATTTAACACATTGCTTGAATGTGGATTAATATTCTATTCCAATCTAAATGTAGAGAGAACATCTAAGAAGGTTTTCTTGAACAGCACGAACGCAACGCGGTTATAATATAGTGTCATCCAGTCACAAATAATGTTATTTGTTCTATACTGCTCATGAAAAGAACAACTATATGATTTGTCAGTTTTATTCACATATTATGATCTACGCTATTATTGAATAATGTGATATCAATTCAAATAGTGTACCAAAGGTCAATGACGTCATAGTAAAATCTTACCGCATCAGTTGGATCTTTGAGTAGTAATACAGAGCATCGTTCACACTTGAGAAGCGTCTGGGCCCGCTGCATGACTTTTTGAACCACGTTTTCTAATGACGTTTGCTCCTCGAATAAATCGTGTACAACTTCTAACAACGCCTGTTATAAAAAATAATTTCACATAATCAGTAATAGATTATTTTCCCTTCGCTGTGATATCTCACGCATTGCGCGAAAAGCGCGGATCGGACGTCTGTCAAAAAAATCGTGTTGTCGAATCACACGCGAAATTCTTGGACGCCTCTGTGACCTTTGTTTGTCCTGCTCGATTTCACGCATAACACGGGATCTCGTAGTGTACGGAAAATATTCTATAGGTTAAATATCTGAAGTATGATTGTTATGTCAATATTACTTACTCTATTTCTGTCGTACTCTTTCATATAATTCCTGAATACTTGTGCGTTAGTGATACCGATCCCACAGAAAGTCAAATAGGTTTCCAATAACTACGACACAGAAACATGTAAAGTATCAACAAATATCATAAATGAGTCGTAAATCTAAAAAAAAAAGCCTTTAAATGTAACAATTTTCCATAATTGTCACAGAACCCTTTGTGTCGTCTGCGTGTCTGAGTGCAGAGCGCATGAGCGCGGCTACAAGTTCAAGCATTGCTTAGAATCCCATGCAACGCACCACAGCATCAGTGTTCACGTAAAATGAATTAGTGCTGGAAACAAGGTGACCTCCCTTATACTCCAAATGCGAGGAGGTAATTGTAGTCATTGAAAGGCTAAATAATTGGACACTTCACGTTCTGATAAGAGCCCTAGACTGAAGCCTTTATAGTTATTCAACAATTTAATCAACCGCTATCGTGGTTATCTGTGCCAGTACATTTGCGGCAATTATGCCCATGACGCATGCGCAGTATTTCGTGTGCGCTCATCAATGACAATGATATATTCGGTTTAATCAAATGGAAATAAATGGAAAGAATATAATATCGTCTCCATTCACCATAATCAAAGGCCATAAGCCGCAAATATTTGAATAACAGACAGAGAAAAATACGTAGCTATCAGGCATAACTACTCTTATAAGTTTTAAGGCGATGTACATGGAATGTTTTATAATAAAGTATAAATAATTTGATATATTTTGCCTTAGTGCAGAGCATACAGTCAAAACTATCATTCATTTTATTATTTCTGTGTACATAGAGAGATCTAAACTCCGTTTTTAATTTAATTTTATGAGACAGACCGCATAAGCCTGCACTGTTAGCATCAATAAGAAATGTTAATCTCGGGATGTTGCATAATAAATTAAGTAACCTAATATTCGGGTTTCTCTAAACCAATCAGTGCACAGTACGAATCGGCCTAAAATTATAACATGTAAGGTCGACGTACTTTATACTAAACCCTAACGCTAACCATAACCCTAATAGTTTAGCAATACCCAAAATTCTTTAGTACACTGTTATGACAGACCGTATTGCGGGAGGGGGTGTCTGCAATGGCGATACGAGTTCGAATCCATGAGCATGTGCGACATTTGTGTTGAAAAATATTGATTTCCCCGCTATCCAATGCGCTCTTTTATTAGAAATCACGTATACGAGTTTTGACCTGGGCGCAACGTGCACTGATTGCCGTCGTTGACTTTTTCGATACCTTTCAATCAACAAAAAAATTACCTATTTAAAGCTTGGTAACGTCTCAGGATGTACTCGTTGGTCTGCTTCAAAGTCGTCATCTTTGTTTATATCCATATCTCGCGCATGCGTGTTGTGAATTATGTACGTTCGCCTGCCTGTAATTACTTTTATCTTTTTTCAATATTTAATATTTACTTTTATCTGTTTTCAATATTTAATATTTACTTTTATCTTTTTTCAATATTTAATATATAAGTATGATAACATTGAATTCAGGTAAAATATTATATTGTGTGATACTGACTATGTGTTTCTGTACAGAGTGCACTGGGGGAATTACTTAGAACAAGTTATTTAGAATTAGAACAACCATAACACAAATTCACCCGTGCCTCTTCATTTTTTAAGATTGGGTTTATTGGCACGTTTATATAATATGGCGTATATATATATATATTCCGATCCATGGGATTGCTATCTCCTAAGGGTATTACACAGAGTTGTGTTTTGCACATCATGGGGCGCGATGCAATGAGCGCTAATGTAATAATATATCACATGTCAAAAGTACGGGTCGCTAGAATCGGGGAAACACTATGTACCGGAGGGAGGGCAATGGGGTAGCAATAGCAGACCTACTTTCCAGAAGATATCAACAAGACTTGCAGTAACCATACTAGAAACGAACATGTAAACGAACATTTGTAAATTGTAGTTCATTTCACATCTACTGTACTCATTATTCGGTAATTACTATTTAATCGATAACTAATTATGTATTCGTACATAACATAACTTTTGATCTGTAAACAGGAGGACATCAGTCAAGACAAGCCAAGATAGCCGAGCAAGATCAAGTCAAGTTCACGTCCTTGTTCTAGTTTATTGGTTTAATGTGAATTTGAGTGTACTTCGAATATTCAACAATTGTAATATGCCGTTACTTGGCCATTTCACCGTGACATTAAGTTCAAACGATTGTTTACACCTTTAAACATGTATGGTATGCGTACTATAACACTATAACAGACGAGACGATTGATTATTCGAATGGAGATATCAAATGTCCAAACCATCTGCCAATCACTGTTGCTTGTTAAGAGCAATTTTGAGCGCAGTTGCGTTCATGACATTTGCGCGAGTTGCTTCATGCGTGGAGAAAGTAGATGCACAAATGAAGCCAAGATATGCATGTTGCATCTTAGGAAATTCAGTCCTTTGCGCAATTGACCCTAGTTGATTGTCACGATGTAAGACGTCTCGTCAGACGTATATATGTTAAAAAAACTATCAAGCTCCCCCAAAAAAATGAGCAATTTAATACGTGAAATGGATAAAATGTAATACTCCACCTCACATGTGGGTAGATACATATTATCTAAGTCCATGTCAATATATGATCTCACACGCATTGACAAATTGAATGTGACAAGACACAATCATGTCTGCCTACAGTGGAATGGCGCGAATCCGTGTTAACTGTTAAAATTTATGTTTTTTTAATTTTTAAGTATGATAACATTGTATGAAATTATAGAACAATATAATGTGTGATATACGATATGTGTGCCTATACAGGATTGTGAAATTTTTACGACCATTTTTCTTTTTTTAATCATAAAAACAATTTATATTTATATATATTGGAGTTGTGATGCCATTACAAAACGCATTACATTACAACATCACATTACAATATTCACGTAGCTAGTACATAACCTTTGTAAATTGCATTTGTTTTCCTGTGGGCCTTTTGAAATGCGTTCACTAAAACGATTTACTTCTAAATTATTGTCAAATATAAAAGAGTGCACAGAATGGGTTTAACTGTGACATATTATCATAGCTCAATTTTAATTATAGCGGCAATGATTCAATAGCATACTATTTTACCCCCTTATGTCCATTCTGACTAGCCGTTGTTTGTCCAGAATGAAGACAGACATCATTTTGATTATTACATGACGTGCTTTTAAACAAACACTGCGAAATCCCCTGAAGAGAATGTTACACTCACGCCACCTTATGTTTCATCGATTACCTTACTGTCGTCTCGACTGAATTTGCCTCCATCCGGGTTTTTATTGATTACTTCAACCACACCAATTATACCATCCTCGCTGTTTTTGATTGGCATACACATCAACGACTTCACTTGATATACTCCGCATTGATGAAATGCTTCTTCGTATGTAGGATCCTAAAATGTGAAAAAAACACGTACCATCAATCTTCATCTACAGAGAATGGAGAATAATAGTTCTCTGGCAATGCATTGTGGGAAAATATTTAACTAGTTTAAATGTAACATTACAATATGTTGGTTAATTAAGAAATAAAAACATTTTTTTTTATATCATCCTCTTTTTTTAATTGCGATATATAATATGCAAATCCCAGGGAGTCTTATGAACACGTCTTTGCTTTTAAGAAACGATGTAGTTTGAAATGATGTTTATTAATAAGGTATGTGTTATTTCATTCGATCACATATCATAATTTCACGTTTCGGTAAACTTAATTTTATTTTGTAGACTGGGGGATTCACACAATCAAGAATTAAATATCTTAATTTGCAAGTCCGGCTGATTACCGGCAGAAATAATGCTGATTAGAAAATGTTGTTATGCGTAATATAAACACATACAGGTACCTGACCTGCTACTTTGTGACATTAAACATTTCATTATTTATAACATTTGCTCTGACCGAAGCAAGCCGATCGTCGCATGTCGGAATTCCTTTGAGGGTGGGCAACCATTACTACGACACGGCGCTTCAGGAGGTTGCAAACGATCCGATCCGATACACTGTGTGGTGAAAGCTGTAGGGTGAATATCTTTTTAGCTGATCTATTTATGTATCGCATCTATCTATGTTGTGTTTACCATTTCCCAAACCCATTATTTGCTCCACCTTTATAATCTTATGACCATAAATTTCTATATCCATCCGCATCATATTTATTCATCCAGTATGCACACCATCCTCGTTCCATGGTACGGTATACTGATGACGATTAACAAAAAGAACGGGCACAGATATTGCCTTTAGGTTCTATAATAACGACGTCTTCATTAAAAAGACGTATTTGATTGCCTTTGTTAAAAATATATATATATACCAGAATCTACTACTAACATCGAGAATTGTCTGATGTTTTTATTTTTTTGTATTGATGAATAGCGAAAGTAGTGATTAAGTGGGTGGAGGTAGATCGTCTAGGCTTTGGGTGAAAAACGATACCAACATTTAAAGTTAATTGTTTTAAAGCATATTATAAAGTGTTAAAGTATTGCCTGGATATGAGTGCGGTGATATAAATTTCTTGTTATAAAATGATTTGTAATCGAGTTGTTGAATATGTGACATATATTTTCACAATAAAGCAATGTTTTAAGAAAATACAAAACACCATGCACCAATCAAATGTCAATACAAAGATGCATGAAGGGTTCGATTAAACAAAACAAATACACGACTGACAACAAATGATTACATTGGTGAGTGAGCGATATACTGATCTCAATGCACAACCCCAAGTGACAAGGTGTATTGTTAGATGTTTCGAAAAATAGCAAAATAATACAGATATTCAGTTTGCATGAAAGGTCATTTTATTTGAGAATATGCTAATGCAAATCGTTCTTTGTAACACATGCCATATAAACAACAAACACCATAGGCAAAGAAATCGGCGGACGATGATAAATTTGAAACCCTCTGTAACGGTAGAAAACCGACAGTTTGGGTCAAATTCAAGATCAAAATTCAGGCAGGAATCAGAAAAAGTTGATTCAATGATTTTCTTTTTTCCATGGTAATGTATGGGAACTTAATACAAATGTAAAACAATCATCAGAACATATTAATAATATAAATACTTGAAACTTCGTGATTTTGAAAGCATTACGTATAATTTGTAGTTTTGTTCATAAATAAATTGATATTATGGTAAATCAGAGACTATAAATATATAGATGAACGTTGCATTTCTGGTACGTACTATTTATTCCTGATGCATGAGCATTTGAACAGTATTATATTGTTGAATGAATACTTTTTATTCTTTACGATAATGACTTAATTTATTGTTGACATCAACATGGTATATCAATATATAATAAACTCTGCATTTCCATGAGACAGCAAATTGGAAAACAATTTACATTATTTGTAATTATTAGACATATGGCAGCGAAATAAAATATAAATTAGCCATCCGTAGAACCACATACGGGCGTGTTCTAAAGTGTCACAGGAATGAGTTATTCTCGTTTGAAAATTTTCCATCATATTTACGTCACATTCGAACAACACTCCTTTGTTTACATCAGAAGCGTGACGTAAATATAATCTTATTACTAAACGCAAATGATCGCACATGCACGAGTTTCCTAAAATGTCCTCAGCCGGCTGTTTGACGGCTGCTAAATTATAACTGCAGGCAGAACAAATGCATAATAAAGTTATCGCGATAATAACGCAAAATATGCACTCAGACGAGAAATGTAATACAATAAATGTGATTAAAAAATATACCAAACTTGCAGTTGCACAATAATTTGTCTGAATATGTTCGAATGTTGTTGCTTTAGATTCGAGCCGTATTCAAGATGGCGGCCCCTTGCAGTAAATATTGGTAAATTTTACATTATCTATGGTTATTTTAATGATTTGTATTATATATTTCTAAGTTTGTCGTATTTATTGTTAATTCAAGCAATTGAGGAAAATATCCCCATGGCAATACATGTACAAATTGGTATCAAATTAATTGTTCATACAACGGCAGACATCGATGAGGCAGTGGATACAACTTAACATTATTAATGGGTTAACTATATGTTTAATTGCTCCTAAAAATAGACATAACTTATCATTACAGCAACATAGACATTGGTATCCATGTTAAAAGTATTGTTATATTGTGAATGATATATTGATGATTTATACGTGTTTTTATGAGTTATGTATGATCTTATTACTCGACTAAAATAATGAGTATATACAACAAAGCAATATGTATAGGAGAGTAGAAATAAAACCACGCCAAAAACAAAAAGTCCATGAACAAACAAAAAAAACAGTTAACGAGAGTTGACGTCAGGTGTCTTGAAAAGAGTGAGTAGATGCTACTCCACATGTGGCACCCGCCATTTATTATTCTGCATCAGGGAGGCTTTTTTTTCATATACGTATCACAGTATTGCACCTTGCCTTAATGAAACTCTTAGAATATAAATTCTCATGTTCAGTTCGTGATTGTCGAGTTAACCACCTGCACGGAAAATGGCACAATATACGTCGCCCGATCAAGTTTCCCCTTCAAGAACCTCTTGAAGTGATTTAACCAGCAAACATCGATCACAAAAAAAGAAGAAGCGATTACTACATAATTGAATAACCTCATTGTATTATAGGGCAATTACATATTTGTACATTTATCAAAGTCTGAATCTAATCACGTGAGTGAAAGGGTGAGCCAGAGGTAACACGTCATATCAGAATTTTCTAATGGTCATTAACTACTTTTGTTTCGTCCAATCTTTGAGCCCATCTGGGGGGAAAAATCAACTGAAAGATCATTTTGATCTTTAAAATGTCAGACTGCTCAGACTTTGTAAGTACTCCACGAATGTAATCAATTCTTTCCTAACTAATAACACAAAACAATCTTTTCACGAACCTGTGAACTAATCTGCTAATTAATATATGTTATACAAACTGAAGGTAATCTAAAAAGAAAAAAAATATGATGTGCGCAATCATTTTCAAACTCCTGGCATCACTTCTTGGCTGTTGTCTTAAGATTTAGATATTTTTGTCACATTATTGTTTGTGGTTACGTTTCGTTGTTCTGTCTATTATTTTGCTGTTTTAGACTAATTTCACTTTCCAGATTTTGATTTGGTATAGCTTTTTCTACATAACATTTGTACAATATTCGTAAAGTTCGATTTTAACGTCATCCACGGGGTCGCCATTGAATTTCGGGGAATGCCTTCTGAAAATATCGTGCAACTGAAGTACAGGTTTATTGAACTGAATGTAGATATTGAACGAATAACAGTGAATAGTGAACAACAAATCACAAGCCCAAATACAAAAACATTTAATTAACCACGGTAATTGAATCTGTATAAAATGCACTAAACATTCACTCTAGGTTTAGAAACACATTTTTTTTTTACAATACACAATACTAAGGAAGGAAGGGAAATTGAGACATTATCTTTGAAGTCATTTCGAGCGCTAATTGGTGTCAGTGATCTTCAAAACCATCAGAATGGCTTCCTATTTTAATCTAAATCAAATTAATTGATGTGCAAAGAACTAAATTACACACGGCTCAGTAAATATGTCCCATTTCCAATAAAGACGCCTCTGTCCCCAGTTCTTTTATTTGTTTTAACGGAGGGAGTATACACGGAGCATTCCCTAGGGTGTAGAAAATAACTGATAAGCCTACCACCCATTTTTTTACATGAGTACCGTAGTGACGCCCCAGGCCATTGAAATTATAAAATTGATTAACATAATTAGTTGGCAACCACAACGTATTGATTCAGTGAATAAGGGTTCATTAACTAGATATATTTATGAAATCGGTTAAAAATAAATAATAAAGACAACCATTGTAAAAACGGCTCACTCGATAAATAAAGTACTCTTAGACTACTGTGCTACATAGCAACGCGCTATACGTGGGTCCATGAACAAATGTCTTCAATAATAACTTATTCATTAATAACACTTGAATCAGTGTACAAATTTTATTTGGTAATTGCAATGTAAGTAAAATAAAAAATATACATACCTTGTCCACATTTGTAAGAATAATAGGATACCCTGAGACTGCAACTTTTCCAACAGTGCCTTCACCCAGTGTTATGTGTATAGGATTGCTATTCTGTTCATTGTCTTGTAGTTTAGAAAAGAAAATCGGAGAGCTTGAATTAGAGCATGGCGAATGCATCACCAATGTTTCTTTGCCTTTTGGTCCCTCTAGTAAAAATAAAGTGCTGTGTTCAGCATCAAGAAGAAGACTTACATTCGTGATGATTTTTGAATTAAGTCGTCTTAAATCCAGATCATGAGATATATCCTTAACAAGTTCCAGGAAGAACTCCTTCTCGTTTTTAGACTTGAGTTCAAGTTTTCGATCCCTGTCTAACGTAGTGTGGTGCGGTAACCTGACTTTAGACTCTAAAAGGATGCTTAACGCATTTATGGGACCAGGAGGTAGAGATGAATATCGACGAAGAGGGTAACGTTTACATCTACGGTATTCCGACGAGGCATCTGACTCCAAAGCAGGCTCACTGGCATGTAAATAGCTTTTTGCCTTGGAACGTGCAAAATCCTGGCGTAGAAATTGTTTAGATTGTGATCTCTTTCTCGGAGTTCCCTCGTTAATTGTTTCGCCATTATTTTGAGTGTCTTTCTGTGCCCTTTCTTTGGTACGTTCATCAGATCTGGGATAAACAGTGGCAGATCGTTGTATAGAGACTCTATTTCGTCTCCGCTGGGAATAAATTTCCATGATTTGCGGATTAGCTTCAATAAGCTGTTCCAAGCGATCGGGACTAGCTTCCAAAACACCCACCAGTTTTTCTGGATTTTTCAACACCCATTTTCCAACTGCTTGTGGGTTATCGTCAAGCCATCGCTCGATGAACGACGGATGGTTGGACAGCCATTTCCTCATATTTTCGCCAGATACGGAGGCCATATTGCCGTAGTATATTATCACAACACGTCTGCTAAGTATAATATAAGTAGACTAGCATAATCAAAATGAATCGAGTTTCTCAAGAAGTGCTCTTAAAACATGACCTTGTTGATATATTGCGGTGTCTCCGGTCTGTTATAGATGTGATGTGTAGCAGACAGTTCATCATCGAATCCACCCAGCATTCGGATAACGACGTTCTAGTACAAGTATCCAGCATTACTATGATTTACCTGCGGGTAACTGTTTGAGTGAAATGCGCTACAAGGAAGTTTATCCATCCACTCGGTGTATCTCGATGTCCAAAACACAATGACGTAGGCACATCAATGTATCACTATCCGTTCACACACATTATAGTTTTCATGTGTAGCCGTGTGTTCATTCGATCACAAACGGTTGCGACATACGGTCCATATATTTAGTTTCCAATCATTACACAGTTCCGCTGGTTGACTCTAGGTACGGTTGTACTGCTCACTCGGCGCCATACGCTAACCTCGTGATTTGTATTACTGACGCTCTTTCACTGTAGATCTTTGCTGCGGTCGTAGCGGAATGATTCAATCAAATCAACATACAAGCAATATCAGTGGCCCGCAGCTGTCCCACGTGACCTATAGCCGATTGAGTGGTGGCGTGGCAGTCATAATATAAATACAATACAATGATGTCTCCTGCAAAATAAAACAGTACGTCATTTAATGCTCGAGGATCGGTTGTAGGTCACACATTGAAAAAGTGGTTGCTTTGAAAGTGTCGTCCGTTGCAATACCTCATCGCAGATCGCGCGACGTGACGTCACTCTGTCGAATAACAGTCGTGTCCGTGAATATTTTTGATCGCAAAGATAATAACAGACACATAAATGTGAGTAAGGTGAGTGAGTGTCAGAGTGTGTGAGTTAGTTAGTTAGTGAGTGAGTGAGTGAGTGAGTGAGTGAGTGAGTGAATGTGTGAGTGTATGAGTGGGTGAATGAGTGAGTGAGTGAGTGAGTGAGTGAGTGAGTGGGTGGGTGAGTGAATGAGCGAGCGAGTGGGTGAGCGAGTGTGTGACGGTACATCCCCGCAGCGACAAGGTATTTTGATTAAACAAATTAAACGGTCATATTATTGTGTTTAAACTCGATGCCAAAACACGTCGTACTTTGTATGTAGCTGACAGGAACACTTAAATATCTTTGAGAATATACGCTGTTGGATGAGAAAGACTTCTTTCATTATATAGACTGACTCATACAAAAAGAAATGGCGACTTGGCATGGAATAAATAAATTACCGTAATCTATGAAATCTAAACAAGATAACACTCCGTCCAAGGACATCATTATGTATCTAGATCATCTGTTTATAATAACACTAATTAATACTCAATTATCAACCAAAGTTTTCTACATCATTTGGTTTGATAATTAAAAACGGAATGTAACATTTTATTTCTTTCCTCCTTAATCTCTAGGACTCAACATGTTTCAAACCAATCAAGGTAGTGTTACAAAGAACGTGATGTAAATTGACGTGCTTTCACGTCTCTTGTTCCGATGTGATTACTTTAAATTGGGAGTTGGATATATGTCACGCAGTTTAACAGTCGTCTACAACGTATACTCAATAACCAGCATCGGTTGTTAACATGGCTCCAACAAAGTCGTGAATTGGAACTATATTATCCAATCAGTACAAAACGATTAATCAAATGGATATTCGTCAAGGGGGTACCTCGTTTTGAATTCGTAAATAATTCTCGCGTTTGTCTTGGGATAACGCGGGTGCTCTTATCGCTAACATTTCTCCCATTATTGAAAACAGAATTAGGGATTGAACACTCATGCAAAACCGTGGAACATTTAGGGTGTATCCATGGTGATGGGAAGTATATGCATGCGGCAATTGCATTGGTTTTAGTTTTTTTAATATATTTGAGAGAAAATACCAAGGAGCATAGTAGTTCCAACAGCTGCTGTGAAAGACAAATTATTATTACTAGCACTGTAACACAACTAATGATGACATCATTATCACTGAAACACAACTAATGATTAAATCATTATCACTGAAACTAAACTAATGATGACATCATTATCACTGAAACACAACGGAAAAACAACAACAACAATGATGACATCACGGATACTAACACACCAATGACGATAGCATCACAGGCGCTGAAACAAAATAATGATGAAACACATATAATGATGACATCAAATAGACAGACTTTACAATAATCAGTCAACTGATCATGCGCATTGGAATGGCACGATGAACATAGGGTCATTTATTAAAGTAGGGGTATGAGTAGATTTAGATCTAAATGCAATCAGCTACACTAATGAACTGAACTCATTGAGACACTGGCTTTCCTTTCACACTGATACTTAGAATTCAAATGTGCTAAATTCGCTCTTTAGTGAGTCAACCAATTTTATTACTATCCAGCGCAACGCAACGCAACGCAACGCAACGCAACGCAGCGCAACGCGTATTGAATCTATTACTGGAAACACATTTTTACCTGAACGTTGTAGTATATTACTTAAACTAAATGTGTTTTGAATGCGGAACTTATGTATTGATACTCTCTATGTTAGTATCCCTCTCTCTACAATGGTTCATATAAAAAATACGAGGCATATTAGGAAAAGTGTCGAGTATGTTATTCTTATTGAACGTAATTCATTACTTATAGTACGTCGTTACTGCGATGACAGTATACTAACATGCATGCCCTGCGAAAGTAATGTACGTTTTATTATGTTTAGCATTTTTTAATATTTTTTACATTTACTAGATTAATATCAAAGCTGCGACACAGTGGCCTCAATGCGTATATCAATGTGATAAGCATAGTATTGATGGAACTGGAAAACAAATCACAAAAGTATAGTATTTGCAGAATTTGATGTTTTGTTAAAAAGTTGAAATTGTTGAATTTGTTGGTGAAAAAAAATCTTTTTGTACATCCTATGACAAATGTGTTTAGAATCGCCTAATCGACGTGTCCTTTTGAAGCTATCAGTGGTTTACCCGCACGCTGACTATGGCCACCACGACCCTTTTCATCGCCATGGCAACGAACGCAATTGAGAACAAAGCATTATATAAAGTGTGGTTATTTATATGCGAGCAGCGGGTGTAGTGTAATATAGTGCAATCCGCAATATGTGACGCTCAGCTGCTATTCAAAGTAATTTTGTGATTTTTCCCCCACAAAATGTGCGTATGATAATTCTTCACAGCATATAATCTTTTAACTTGCAGCTGTGTTTTTTATCTAACGCATACCCGCCAATGAGAATAAGTTTTATAGAAATCTCAAAACAGCTTAAATGTGGAAATGCTAGCATAACAAATAAATCTAGTTTTTATTTATTAGATTTCCAATAGAAAGACGAGCATATGACGTGAATGCTGCAATGTAGTGAAATCACATTCATCATAAATATAGTTATGACAAAGGAAAGTAGATTATAAAGAAGATAAACAATGTCAATGCCCTTTATTTAATGACATCATACTCATGTATACATGTTATACATTCAAATTTAAATTATGTCAGAAATTGTGAATATTGACCATACTAGTATTAATTTTTCAGATGTGTATAATTTACCATTCACCACTACAATTGATAATAGAACAAGAAATTTTCAATTTAAACTAAATCATAATATTCTCTATACAAACAAAGATGTATATTCCATGAACTCTAGCCTGGTTACATCACCAGAATGCAGTTTCTGTGAAACGTATGATGAAACATTGATTCATCTATTCTGTGAGTGTATAGTTGTGAAGAATTTCTGGCAAATATAACAAATCATATTATTCTTCTAGCTAAACGCCATATCTACTTTTCTAAAAATGAGAAACGAAAAACCTTCTTCTCATCAGGCAAGTTTATAGTATTGAAGACAGAGCGATAAGGGGGCAAATTAGCGAAGTACACTGAAAAATAGAAATCATTTAATATGCTGTGACGTTGACATACCCCTTTCCTTTTCTTTTCACTTTAGTTTATATTCGTATTCTTATATTACCATGGTTGTTGTGTATAAATTGTACTCTTTCGATGGGATAATTTTATGTATTTATATATGTGGTTAACGTAAAAATAAAATAAAATATAAAAACGTATATCAATGTCCAAAATGAATCATTTATATTTTAAAAAAATCAATAAAATTGATTCATCGTCAATCAGTATAACACATGGGGTCTCGTCGAAAAAAGAGAATGCCAGGATACATATGTGTCCCAAATGGTGTTCATTGCGTTCATAGCTCCGCCATACTTGGGAATGTGTAAGGAGTTATGGGAATGAGTGGAACTCTGTTTGAATGGCAACAACAAGTCTAAAGTCTAAGGTGTATTGAATTTGTCTTCACAATCCAAACATGAGTTGAATGTCACACTCATTTAAAATTATTATTAAGGTAATAAACCGTGATGTATTCATTGTTGAATTGCTTCTATTGTACATATCAACAGGATATAATGTAACTTTCTCTCCATATGTTTAAAGCTTGCATTATATTTGTCTACAGAGACCTGAATTCCCCACACACTGTATATGCTTCAAGCGGGTCTAAACTAAATTTTAAAGAAATAAGACACTTAATGCGGTTTCAACCAAATTGAAAATGAGAACAAAACAACTGACTCGCTTCATAGATAAACATTCAGATCTAAAGTCTCCACTTCATACACTGCAACGAAAGCTTAAGTACTCATTTCATAGCTAGCAACTGATATGTGAAGTTCTGATATGTGAAGATATAAATCATTTCATAGGTTCCGACTGGGAGTTACCTAAACATTCCACTCCGTAGTAAACTTCTAAACACTAATTTTCTTACTTCGTAGTAAAAACTACAATTATCACTTCATATGTAAGAACTGCGAGCGAATGTCACTTCATAGGTAGCATCTGAAGTTGAAAAGCTAACTTCATAGTTCCTAATAAGAGCAAAAATTCTAGCTTCATGGATTCTAACTAAA